GCATTCTGGTTTAGTGAGCTTCTAAAAAACATATTGCCATTTATGTATGAGATCATTGTATATAATTTTGAATATTTAAGATGGAGATAATATTTGTGTTATAACTGCATAGCTGCTATGAATTTAAGAGTTTTGAGATTTATAATGAAAAACTATAGAAAGACAGCAATGGGAGATACAGAATTGAGATACCTACTTTTTTACATAAATCATGATTTTATACTAAAAGAAAACTTCTATTGTTCATTTTTAAGCTGTTGACACACTAGCTGAACCTTTCTGTTTCTTACTCAGTCTTTAGACGGTTAGGGGAGAAAGTTTCTCTCTCATGTTTCATTTTTGCTGTTTGGGTTCCCACAGTGACATTGCGGGGATGCTGCTGAAATCCACAGGAAGTTTCCTAGAGTTCGGCTTGCAGGAGAGCTGTGCCGAGTTTTGGACCAGTGCTGATGACAGTAGTGCTTCCGATGAAATAAGGTTGGGGACTTACCTCCTTCCCTCCCTTCTCTCATTTCTTGTGCTTTGCTCTGGGTGAGGAGCCAGAAGGGAACCTGCTTCAAACCAAGCTGGGTGGGCCCTTAAGAATTGGGGTTATAGGCCTAAAAGAATGAATGCATTTCATACAATCTCTGTTATGATATATTTGTGTAACTGTCTTCAAAAATGAGCTTAGAGTTTATTTAGCCTCATGAAATTGTGTCCTTAGAGAAAAAAAGAGATCACTGAAGGTAAATGAAGATGAGTAGAATCAGCTCCAAACTCAAGTTCTAGGATGTCTTTAATGAAACATTGTTTTTCAGTCCATTAGTACCCCCTTTCAGCCCATTGGTGAATGTTAGCAGCTGTTTCTTACCATTTTGAGTCATGCTCCATCAGGAAATGAAGGTCCCAAAAGCATTAGTCCATCCAGGTCGTTAAGATCTGCTCAGCTTTGAGGTGGCAGCTCTTCCCTACTCTATTTTGAGTGCCTTCCAACCTGAAGGGTCCATCTTTGGGCACTATATCAGACAGTGTTTCACTGTTACTCTAAGGTTTGGAGTGGCCTATATATTTTTTTTTTTTTCCTACTTTTATAACAACTGCACCATTTACAGGTCAGGAACATTGATGACATTTTTCCTGTCATGCCATCATTATTATTATCCCTCTCCAAAACATTCCATCACCATTATATATAAACTCAGTGTCCTGAAAGCAAAAGATTTCCCCTCCCCCACCTCCTCCCTCCCACTGCTGGTAACTACTACTAATCTTTGGGGTGTGTGTGTGTGTGTGTGTGTGTGTGTGTAATTTATTTATTTATTTTATTCAGTCTACCTAGGAGTTTAACCTCCTCTCCCCTGTCTCTCCTGGTAACCAACAAAGAAAGTTTCCTTCCATGTACAAACTTTTCCTTGACTTTTTATAGTAGTGTACTGAAAGAATATCTGTCCTTCTATGATTGACTTATTTCACTGAGCATAATGTCCACCACGTTCATCCACATTATGTGATGTTTTGCTGATTCTACATTATGCTTTAGGGTTGCATAGTATTCCATTGTGTGTAGGTAC